CGTTTTCATTAAATAAGAGGCTTGTTATGTTAGGGATTTTTTACATGGTTTTAGAAGCCTTTTTTACTTGACATTATATACTCATAGATCATTACAATTTATCCAGTCTTTCTGAATATCAGGTGGTCGTCAGATAACATATTTGACATTTGAACATATATAAAGAACCATCTACAACCAATATCCAATATCTTTTTCATGAGTTAGTCTACTAAACCAGTTAGTTTCCTTGCGCCCAATTCTTGTTCTTTCGGTAAAGCTGTAGTGTGACGATTGAGCGCGTGTTCTTAAGATCGGTAATTAGCTCGTCCAGACAATCGTTACTAACTAGCGTCTGACTGTTTATAAATCAGAAGGTGAACACAAAGTGTTGAATATGTTTATTTTTGACACACCACAAAGTGAAGCGGAGAAACAGCGAATAAAACGAAAGAAGCGACGTGAATTGGAGAAGGCTAATGAGCCAACTCCATGAGATAGAGCGTGACTAAGAATATATAATCAGATAAATATAAGACAGACATGCGACAAGCGAAATAGGCACACATGAATAAAAGTGATGAATAGTTTACAAGGTCAAATGACAAGTGGGACACGTCATGTGAGCTCATACAAACCAGACAATAATAAGAACGAATGGTACATAGAAGTTGTGGCTACGCAAATGACTTGGTTAAATAAATTAGTCGATAGGGCTTATCCAATTTAGATGTAAGCAAGCTAGAATATATGTAGAGGCACTACAAAGTTCCAGGTGTTTGGCAGTATCTAATGAATGGGCGGTCTAGCCACTCGACTGTCTAATTCTTGTCAGTTGGCAGTTGGTTGTGAGTTTTTATGTCCCGAGATTTGAATGAAAATGTTTGTTTCAGGGCAATAGAGTTTCTGGATACCAGCAGCTGTCAGATTACTAGGTCGGAGCTCAGTTAGTTTCAATGTGGAGAATAATAAGGAGAGAAATTCTAATGCTAATAAGAGGATTTCAGAACTAAGTAATATATAGATAATTTCGTTTATTAATTAGTAGTGCAGATTGTGAGAGATGACCGAAGTGTAAGCAAGGTAGAGGAAACAGAGATAGTAGGCGAGATAGATTGTTAGTGATCTGAGGAGATAGCAATAATAACGACTAGCAAGTCTCAAGGCATGCATCAAGTACAGCTTGTCCACGAGGGAGATGATAATCCGTATGTGAGTACGTGTTTATCAAGTCTCTTCTTAAAGCTGTCCAATGAGATGGTTTTGGTCACCTCGTTTGGGAGGGCATTCCAAGTTGCAACAACTCTGAATGAGAAAAAGTGTGCCCAAACCTGAGTATTCGCTCTTTGATGCGCAATTTTTCGAGGATTGCCTCGAGGGGACTGGTGGTAATGCATCGGTAAGGTGCTCACGTTGGGATGGTTTGGTATGTTTAATATGTTGTACGCCATAATCAGATCACCTCTGATTCTCCTGTAACTCAGGGGGAATAATCCAAAGTGCTGGAGTCTATCTTTGTGAGTTTGTTCTTCAACCCTATCACTCATTTCGTTTCTCGTCTCTGTACTCGATCCCAGTGATTTATGTCTCTTTTAAGTAGAGGAGGTGCGATGACGTTGTGAACCTCCAGATGTTGGCGCGCGTATGTGTTAAATAACGTTAAGAATAATTGTGGGGTGATAGTATCAAGTTCTCTTCGCATAAAGTAAAGAGTCGCTATTCGTCTTGGCTGCGTCCCCTATACACAGTTCGGGCTTGTGTGGAGGCTTTCTGTGGTTATTAAACTGAGATCGCTCTCTGAGGATACATTAACATCTCTAATCTAGTTACGTATAACATTTCTATCTCAATTGTTATCCAAAATTTTTATCATATTATTACAAATAAATTGTTGAGTAGTATTCAATCTCACGAAATAGATCATTATCACTGATAATAATATTACGCAATATTGTCAACACAGTATGGAATAGAATATAAACTACAAAGAATCAATAAATTTACTTCGATTACTTAATAATTGATAAATTATTATCATTATTATTGTTGTTGGATTGGTTTATTAATGATGTGAAATATATATATATATATATATATATATATATATATATATATATATTAATGATTTTAAAATTAACACAATAGTTCTTTCTACATCATCCATAAAGTAGTTAAGTACTTTATTAATTACAAAAGTTAATAATTTGAATAGTTGCAATAAAGAACTTTGTTATTGCATATATCATTAAAAATTATGGTAAGAAAGATTAAGCAATTCATATTTGAGAGAATTATAAAAATAAACGAACATATTATTAGCCTTTAAATGTTAACTTATAATTTAAAACTTCGATAAATCCTAACCGAATCCAACACATAATAATCGAATTTCATTTTATTCTTCAGCAGTTTGAAACAATCAATAGGAATATGTACTGAATCATTCATTCACTACTAGAAAAAGACATATTTAAATTAAAAATAGATCTGAAACAATAAATCGATAAGCAAGAGAGTTTATTTGTTGATGGAATGAATGCACAAAAATATAGTCAAAGTTACTCACTCATTTGAGCAGTATCTTCTTGTTAATTTCAAAGCCAATTTATTATTTATTCTAACATAAAACAAAACCTTTTTGTGTAGTTGTTAATCAAATCTCCTTTTTATCACTACTAACAAAGTTTTGTGGAGATTGTAGAATTTTCAGTTTCAGTCATAAACTGATCTTAGAGATGATACACAAATAATAAAAGCCAGGAGGTTAATTGAAATAAGTTTGTGATTTGAATTAAGAGAATTCTACAATCTTCACGATGTTTATAATTATCATGTGTTCACTAGTGACTTATTTTGAGTAGACATTTTCAGGCGTTTTAATGAAAATCCATGACCAGTAGACTTCAACGATGTCGGATATAAGACAGATATCCACCTTAAGCAGTGAAACATGGTTGCACAATGTCGCAAATTAAATGAAGTTAGACGTTTGCACAAGTGGATGTTAGCCAGCTCACTGGTCTAAAGATTAGGGGTTAGTGTGAGAGACCGAAGTTCATAGGTGTTGGGTCATCATCGATATGGTCGTATGTGAGGACTGTTTAGGAGTCACGTAATTGAACGAAACAAACAATCAACTTCTTTTATCAGTAAGAAAAATACATTTGTAGCTCGACGGTTACAATTTCAATTGTAGAGAGAATTATTATAGACCGCTGATGTAGTACGTACATCTCAAGCATTGAATTTACTGATAATCATACTTGTAAAGGAATAAAATTCTCTTGAAGTAACAAATTGCTGTTGATGGTGTCTGGCCGACGGATCCTCAGCATCTTGTCAAGACAACTGTTCACAGATACCTGTATCTTAAGGATGATGGCTTTCGTAGTTCAGGTGCAGACGCAAGACAATCCTGAAGTAACATGTTGCTCTTCGAGGGGGGGAATCGCATCGCAAACATGCTTGCATTGCTGCTTAACGGCGTCAAAAGACTTTGACCATAGTTGAAAAATTATTTTTCTAACTGTCCCTGAAGTATGTTTTCGACATTTTCATCAAAATTCCGACGGTTTTAATTGATGTGGTATTTTACGTCGAGGAAGGCTCAAACAAATGCCTTTGCGTACTGAAGTCTAAACATTAGCTGCACAATCAGCCGTAGTTTTCTATCGAACCTTTCTGACGATTGCTGATGGTGATATGGTCTATTGAGTCCACTGTTGAATCGACTTTCGGGTTAACTATGTCATAAGATATTTTTTATGCATAAAGTTAGTGATTACTATAAATAGGCGGTTATCCGAGCACTGTTGCAGTAGGTGGTCTGTTTGCGACACCGCCTTTAGATTTGATTTAGTGTACCTATTTGGTGATTAAAATTAACAACCTAAATTAATACATTAGAGCGTTTAGTTTTTGGAAAGACGTTGGAAAGCTTCTATAGACACACATTTAGACGTCCGACAATAGTTGCCTTCCTGGACCTAAATGCGGTATTTGACTCTGTGGATCGTGAGGTTCTGTGGCAGCGTCTGTCAGTAAAAGGTGTACCAAAGAAGTACATTAACCGCATAGAGGCTCTCTACTCGAAAACCACTGGTCGAGTAAGAGCTTATGGTGAACTATCATCAAAACTGATTACTTCAAGTGGAGTCGGTGAGAGAAGTGCACTCTCTCTATGCTTGTTTAATTTTGTCATAGACATGCTCCTAGATAAAACATTATCTTCGTCTAAATTTTCAGGAGTGGAACTTCTACCAGGAAAATAGCTTACTGACCTAGAATATGCCGATGACATAGCTCTACTTGGTGAAGATGCTGACAAAATGCAGAGTCTTCTGACTACCATAAGCAACAATGCGAGCATGTTCGGGATGCGGTTTTCCCCCTCGAAATGCAAAATGTTGCTTCAAGATTGGCTTATATCGGCACTTGAACTAGGGATTCGGAGTGAAGTAGTCAAGTGTGTAGATCGCTTCACTTATCTGGAGAGTCTCATCAGTGCTGATGGTCTAGTGACTGACGAAATCTCAGCACGGATACAGAAGGCTCGATTGGCTTTCGCCAACTTGCGTCACTTATGGCGTAGGCGAGTGTACTGCAGTTCGCTCCGTCCTACCTTATAGCTGTGAAACATGGCCAGTTGGAGTAGAAGATCTTCTTATATTGCTGGTTTTCGATCATAGATAGGAACACAAAAAATGTCTGCAAAGTGCGATAATACTGAGCGCATATAAAAAAATTCGCTAACACATGCGTACTTTTACAAGTCAATCTAGTGTCCACTTTCATATCTTTTAACATACACACACACACACACAACCTTGGAAAGATATTCCTCAAGATTAATAACGATACATATAATTTGTTAAGCTATTCATAATAATTAGCAGACTGGAAGTAAACAACACAATATTATTATCAATATTATGATTATTAAACATCAGTGGTATGTATGTATGACACAAGACAATAGTTGCATGAATAATCACACATTATATGTATATATATATATATATATATATATATATATATATATATACATGGAAATCATAGGCAATCATAATACTTGTAAGCAAATCAAAACCGATAGAGAAGTCAAGTATCACGTATACACTGTAAGCGGACAAACAGAAGACAGTTTGAACTGCAACTGGTTGCAGTACCATTAGTAATGATGTTGATTAGAATGGTAAAGAAATCAAGTAAAGTTATTGCTTAGCCAACCAATCGATACATGATGATCGATAGTGTTATTATTATTATTAGTAGCAGTAGTAATTGTAGTGATTGAAGTAATCAACATTTTGAATCATAGCCATTGATTGTGATAACAAACTCAGAAATAAGAATGACAATTGTAGTGAAGATATCATCAGTAGAGGAAAAAAACAGTTACAACTGAACACCAAGCGATCTGCCGTACATCAATAAATGAATGGTGTTTTGAGTATTGTATTTGATAATCCAATTGATAACCTAGAAATGTGTTTGTTTTAATTTGAACGCATTCTGTTCACAAATATGCTACACGTTAACTATGAATTATAATTATTTGTTTTACTATGTGTATATCAGCATAATATAGTGATTTAAAAAAAAAGAAAGGAGGCCTAAGTAAAAGGCTAAAAGCATTATATTGGAATTAAAAAAAAATAAAGATAACGGGTGGGTGGGGGGAATCAAGAAGACAAAAAATTTCGTTGCACATTCATAAATGAATAACGTTGTTGTTGTTGCTGTTGTTGTAATTGGCTCGAAATAGTAACGATGTCATTAGTGATATAAGTAAGCATCATTTCTAAAGAAAAACAATAAACTGCATAAAACATACGAGAAATTTTTTGTCTACTGACTATGTATGTATAAAGAGACAGATATTGATCTTGAATATGCAGATACAATTTTCACGTTGATGATAGCTAATAATAATAATAATAATATAATACTATAATTATGAAAAGATGAGAGATCCCTGACAGCTTATAGATATATATATATTTTTTTCAAAGGCAAAGAGAAAAGAAAGAAGTTAACGCTTTGAATTAATTGTTTGTTTTTTTTAAAAACTGAAAAATAGAGATAAAAATCAAAGCTAACAAGTGTACAAAGATTAAGTTCCATAAGGATTGGTACAATATAATAATTGTATAGGAATCACACACAACTGTGAAATGACAATGAGTAAGCGTTATAAAAGAAAAATGAAGGCATTAGAGATCAATGAAGTGTTTTCTGTTCTTAAACAAAAAAAAAACACCATAGAAGAAACAATGATGCAATATGCAACCAGGGTTCGAGCACAAACAAACATAGTGATACTTTCAGTAGTGACGTAATACTACAACGGAAATAATAATAATAATAATAGTCAGTTACATAAAATTGATAATTACTTTCAATAAAATGGATTTAAACTACTTGTCTGTTGTTGATGCATCATATTATTCGCAGGGCCATCGATAACAGACCATGTGTTTGCAGTATTGATCGGCACCATGTAATTCGGTTGTACAGGTGCTATAGGACCACCACTGACAGGATAAAATGGTGAAACTTGATACACCATTGGATTATTCATTGTGTTCTGATGATAACTTGCACCTGATAGAGCTGTTGGTGTTGGTGCTAATTGATTCAGTGACGGTTTGATTGATTGATTAGCTATAAATGGATTAGATGGTGCACCGGTTACAGATTTTGGACCAATAGTGAATGGATTTGTTGAAGCTAATTAGGAAGGAAAAAGAATAGGATATTAAATAAGATTATGAATTCGATGACAATTACCACTTCGAATAAAAAATTATGTATGTCGGCTAAAAGATATAAAATATATTCAGTTTCAGTTTATGCATCATGATAAACTGCCATGAGTTTTATTGATTTATCAAATAGGAAGCGGGGTTTTTTTTGTACTGACTAACAACAGAATAAATTCAAGATTGGAATAAATGTTTTGTACATGTTGATATCTTTGTCTGAATATAAAGTTCAATCTAATCGACAATATTCACACTTCAATAGGTGAAGCAAATACACATTATACTTTGCAAATATTGATGATCAAGTATTTGTGAACAATTTCCAAACATAATAATAATAATAACAACCTATTTTGTGATGAAGTAATTTAAGTACTGCAACATTGTGTACTTAGATTTTGGTGAGTAAAATGATGATCAGTGTATGAGACATTTAGTATAATTTGATAAAATTATACTAACTGTTTTGGATTAGATAATTGAAAATAGACCAATGATAAACTTGGTGAAATTCAAAAGTGTCTAAATATATGAGCATGGAAACGAAAGTGTTACGCCTGCACGTCAACACGTCATTTTGATATGCTTGAACTATTACGAGTTTACCTAGTCGGAAAACGAGAGTGAGGATCGAGGATCCGGCGACACGACAGGCTACTCTAATCTGAGTGTCCCAACCGCCACTGAGTGAAAGAAGAAGACTTGGTATGAAGTAGAACCTGTATTCTACAAGCATTCAAAAAGAACGAGGTCCGAGTCCAGAAGAGAACCAAGATCGCGGACTAGGGATCCGGGTCCGGGTCATAAAACGTTACAGATAATGCAAATTTATACAGTTAGGTCGAATAGGAAACAACATTGAAGTGTGTGATATTGACAGTTACGACGACCAATAGGAAATAACATTGGAGCACGTGACATGATATTTAGGACGACTATAAAATTGACCAGTAGGAATTGACCAATAATTCTCCTAGGACTATCCTAACAGAAAGAAACTAGCATATTCTAATCCATATAAGCCAAGATTAGTATATTTCTTTCTGGATTACAAGGACGTTCAATGATAGTAGGAACACTCAAAAAACACTACTCACACTATTCAACATCAACTTCTTCAAGTCAAAGCCTCGTGACTAACATAGTTAAACCTAATCTTACGGCAAAAAAGTAACATTTATTCATTGATGTATTCATAGATAAAACTTTTTGCAACAACATGATCCGAAGAGATGCATTGATAATGTCATTGTTGTGAATTTATCTAAGTATTAACTTTTTAAGAAGTTGATTATCAAATTTTGTCTGACAAATAATTTGAATAAATGACTTTGTTAAAATTTTCATCTATTTGCTGCACTCTAACTCATTAAATTATCAAGTCTACTAAAATATATTTTCAACAACTATCTTATATTATCAGTGTGAATGATATGTGAAAGGATGAACAAGTTAGATAAATATAGCAATTCAATTAGTTACATTACTTTGCAGTACAATAGGAGAAAATCAACAGCAATAAAATACATATGAAACTAATGATTCTGTAGGTAAGAGCAGCTGATTGGAAAACGAAAGTACAGACAACTGTAAACTAATAAAACAAAATGTACAAAAATATAATGTATGTTGATCTACGGGAATTGCAGTGCTTTCACACACAGACAAACACATGCAACAAACAATCGAACTCAAAAGTCTATATCAAATCCTATTGTTCAGCTACCATTAATTTTATGAAATATGTATGCGCCTAATGACGGAACTGATTGTTTATTCAAACTAAATGCATTAGAAATCACTAGATAACATTTTGGGTAATAGAATGAATTTCAGTTCTTAAAACAACTCTGTGCATAGTTCAACTGTTTAGCTTACATTCTCATAGAAAATAGATATTTTCCCATTAGGAAAGATGAGACAACATACTAAGGCTGAAAAGTATAAAAGGAGATAATCAGAGATATTGAGAAAAAAAATGTTAACTATACTTTAATTCAGTGAGTATATACCATGACAATATACCATGAAATCTTCATTAAAATAGTCAAATTTTAAAAGCTGATGCCGAATGAAACATAAATACATACACATATATCTCCACCTGGAGCTCCTCTGAAGTGACTGCCAGTCCCAAGACAGGACAAACAAGAAGGGTTGGGCATGGTGTAGGCGACTTCATCATATCGAACACGAACTCTCTAGAAATACGTTCACTAGAATAAATAATTCAAATCATTTAAACTGAACACTGAGAGTTAGAAGGTCTTCTTTCAAAAGAGTTATGACGTCTCATGATGACAGCCAAGTTTCTTCACATGTCACGAGGCCGATGCCCATTCCGACAAACAGAGTAACAATTGATTTAGGTACATGGAATGTTTTTGCATTGTGGGAGGCCAGTAGAACTATTCAATTCACTGCGGAAATGAAATGATACGATATGGTGGTACTTGGAATCAGTGAAACACATTGAACGCAGGTTGGACAACTAAGACTAGCTTCAGAATAGATGCTATTGTACTCCGTCCATGAAGAGGAAAATGCCTCACATACAAAAGTAATTGCAGTGGTGCTGTCCAACAAACCCGAAAGAGCAGTCATGGGAAGGGAATCTCATGGATCTAGAATCATCATAGCCTCCTTCAAAACAGAGAAAGAGGGTATTACAATGTAGTCGTCCAATGCTATGCACCTACCAACGACTAAAATGAAAACGCCACAGATCAATTATACGAGAGGTTGCAGTCAGTCGTTGACAGATGCTCATCAAAGGATTTGACCATTCTGATGGGAGACCTAAATGCCAAGGTTGAAATGAACGATACTGGATATAAAGTCATGATGAAACACAAGGACTGGAACAAAGGGATGAAATTGGTGGGAAATTCGCAATCCCATTTCACTCCAAAAAACTGTTCATTGTTGGCGACATATTTGTACACAATCGCACACATAAAGCCACATGGATTTCGTTGGGTCACTCTACACATAACCGAATCAACCATATCTGCATCAATGAAATTCCAGAAGGACAATGCAGGACGTAACGACTAAGAGGGGAGCTGACATAGCTTCAAATAATCACTTGGTAGAAGCCAAAATGAAGCTGAAACTCAAGAGGCATCCGGAAAACGGGGTAAACAACACAGCAAAAGTTTATTAGGCCCTCTCTTTGGGATTAGTAACGAACTAACGAATTCAAGATATCCCCCAGCAATAACTTTCAAGCAAATCATAATCTACTCAATGAAGAGGAAACTACCATAGAGAACAATTGGAGAGGGTTCAAGGAGGCAATCACTTCAACATGTCAGGAGGTTCTGGGCCACAAGGGACGGATCAATGTTGTTACACTGAATAAGATTGAAGAAGGGAGGAACAAGAAGGTAGCAACATCAGCCGAACAAGAGCAGAGAATGACAAGGCATAAACTGATTACACATTATCGAACATGGAATTGAAGAGAAACATCAGAGCTAACAAACGTAAATTTGTGGATGATCTATCCACGACAGTAGAAACAGCTGGAAGAGAAGGAAACTTGAAACAACTATACGAAACAACGAACAAGCTCACTGGAAACTACACTGACCAGTGAAAAGCGAGTAAGGAACGTAATCACCAACATTGAAGAACAGGGAAACAAGTTGATAGAGCACTCTGAATAATTCTTACATCGATCAGCCTCAATGAAACCACTCAACATCGAAGAAACACACACTCACATCCCAATCAATGTTGACCAACCAACAACTCAGAAGATCAGCATGCCCATCAGAAAAGGCAAGAGTGGCAAAGCAACGGGACTAGACAACACTCCAGCAGAGGCACTGAAACCAGACATGACAGTAACTGCAAAGACACTCCACATTCTCGTCAGTAAGATTTGGAGGGAAGAACAAATACCAACAGACTGAAAAGAAGGATACCGCATCAAGATACCAAAGAAAGGAGATCTCAACAAATGTGAGAACTACAGAGGCATTACTCTTCTTTCAGTACAAGGCAAAGTCTTCAACAGGGTGTTGTTAAACAGAATGAAGGACTCTGTAGATGACCAACTTCTAGATCAACAGGTTAGATTCCGTAAGGATCAATCGTGTATCAACCAAATTGCAGCATTGCAGATCATTGTGGAACTCATCACTCCACATCAAGTTCATCGACTATGAGAAAGTATTTGATAGTGTGGACAGGAGGAACTTATGGAATTTTCGACGCTTTGGTTCGGGTCTGAACGTACACTAGGGAAAATGCATGATCTTCAGATACATCACAGCATGTGCCAACCAAATCACATTTTAAGGAGAAGCTGTAAGTGCGGTGGAGAACTTTACCCACCTAAGCAGCAGCAGTGATAAACGAATTGGATTTGATGCAGATGTGAAGTTACGGATTAGCAAAGCAAGGGGAGCATTTCTCAAATTGAAGAACATCTGCAACTCAAAACAACAACCAACCTACACATAAGTCACGATTTTTGACACGTGTCAAAAGATGCCTGTTGTATACCGCAGAACCTTGGCGAACTAAGAAAACCCACATCCAAAAGATACAGGTCTTTATTGATAGTTGTCTGTGCAAAATACTTCGGACCCGTCAGCCAGACACTATCAGCAACAACCTACTGTGGGAGAGAACAAACTGGATTATAGCTGAGAAACAATTTAGAAAAAACCGCAGTAGGTGGATAGGACGCACATTGAGGAAATCACCAAACTGTATCACGAGGCAAGCTATAACATGGAGTTCTCAAGGCCAAAGGAAAAGTGGTATACTAGTGATAATTCTGCTAAATGAACAAAAGGTCTGAATTCTTAGTCGCTTTAAAAACTCCAAACTAAATCTGCATTGAGAGAAAATGCGCGAAACACGAAATAGACGCTGAGATTGGGTTCATCAATTGAATAATCTATTCTGGCGAGCACATAAAATACATAAAAGTTTGGCAATGTGCGTTTGGGCACAGTAATGATAGTTCACAAATGGTGTCATCATCTTGAAACGCCAACTTCGTTCGTTTGCATATGTAATGCGAATGTCATGCCAGGAAATCCTTTATCTTCTAATTATTGCTGATTATACCATATCGAAGAACGAAGAGCGAAGGTGTGGTCAGTTTATGACATGACACCGTCGGATAAAAAAAAGCTGTATACGCCTTGGATTTGTTGGTCTATCACAACTACCTGGTCAAGGTCTCATAAATTGTGCAACTCAGTGGTTTGAAATGTTATCAGACATGGATCACAATGGAAACCAACGGCGATTCTGTTGTGACTTCACTTTCTTCATATTAGCGAGTCAGACTTTTTCAACCTAAGGAATGTTTTCTAGTTGTATCGTTTTTAACAAAACTGCTTCTCCTATTAAAACTTCTGTTTACTTCCACACACTAATTTTCATTCTTGCCTTCCTCTATACATATTTTGGTACCAACTTGTACCAATACTAATGCGTTTAAATAAAAAAACAGAGTGGTGTTCGATCTATATGTATCACAGAGTTCTGGTTGGCTTGATGTTAAAGTCTAAACTTACTGAAGAAATTAACTGTTTTAAATTAACTCAATTATTAATCAATTGATTGGGAGATAGACAAATATAAATCGACATGATATAGTGTATAATACTTTAATGCAACATAATTAAAACAATACTCAGAATAATAATACTCATAACAATAACGATTTGATGCGAATTATTTGGGCGAAATCAACGAAATGTCAACTATTCAGGCATAATTAAACATAAATTGTCTATCATTTGTTTTATTTGACATGGAAGCAATGACACAGGCAAACTCTACTCTAAGTTAGCAAATTTATAAAATTATTTAATAATACACATTATAAGAATTGCTAAATTAACCAACTGTAAATATAAACTGTTAAAGAAGCTCAGTATAATTGAATGCTCAATTAAGTGATACAATGTTCAAGTTGTGGATGATTACCAGCTAACAAAGATACTTAGGTTTAAGGCTCTCTAATAATTTACTTCAACATTTTCGTATTTATATATCAACCAACTATTTTGATAAATTAGTAAATGAAGTGAGTAATTGTTTGTTTATTTGTTGGACAATTTGAAAATTGAAACCTATCCATTTTTTATTGGTTTGTGTAACGTTATTAAAGCATCTATAACAAAGAATCTAAAATTTGTGTTCACAATTGTTTGCATGTACTGAAATGAATGTCTCAGTGTTTTATGGACCTGTAAAAAAGATTTTAATTTACCACCACTTTAAGAGTATGTTTACAGTCTGTTGAATAGGTACACCAGAGTACTCGATCTACAAGCTGGTTCAAAATGCAGTCAACACTGTAAACACCTAAATCAAACCAATTAGACTGTGCCAACAGGCTAACTGGAAGTCGTCCATAGTTTTCATTTGTAAAATTCAGATATGTAAAGACTTAAAGGACAAGGATGATAGGATATTTTTGAACTGTTAAAAACATGGTTTTTTCGAAAACTGTCGTTCAGTCAAGAGAACGTCAGTTGAAATGTATGAATCCAAAAAGAACTAGAAGTCTACATTTATTTCAATTTAAATAAAAACTGTCAACGGATTACTTTTAAAGTTGAAGAGATGATTTAATGGTAAAGTTATTTCACTTGCAACTGGCATATAGTAGGTTCATGCTGCACTTGACTTATTTTGCTTTGGGCAACTGGATAGTTTCCCCAACCGTAGCTGCTACCTTGAAGTGGTGGTCAGGCTTGTCAATCGTGATGAACAACTGAGCTATATTGGCTGGAACATATGTTCCTGAAGGATCTACCATGCCAGGCAGGTCGATTGGAGAACCATGAGACTAAATGCGTCCCGGAAACGCGCATACAGGATCCCAGTAGCATCATTCACTTGACCTAACCATGTTAAGATAAAGAAGCAGCTCGATTTACCCTTCGTGTATCCGGTAGCCCTGATGCTGCTTCCCGGGCTCTTGCTGGTGTAGGTATGGCGTTGAGTCGTAGGGCAGAACAATCTCTCCTTGACTGGATCCCTGTAGATAGTCGCTTGTGCGCCGTCCGACTAAACGGGACAGTAAGGATTCGAAAGGATAGGGACACTCGTCGTTGCCTCTTCGTCATATCACTGACTGCAGTCTAGACGATGTAAAAGATGAGTTTTACAGAAAGCTTTCAGACCTCCTCCAAAAAGTTAAGCGCTCTGATATAGTTATAATGGCTGGTGACTTCAATGCTCAAGTAGGTAGACTGAGTGAAAATGAAAGACACCTAGGTGGATGTTACGGTGTCACGACTCAGGGAACAGACAATGGCGACCGTCTGTTGCAGCTGTGCTCAGATAACCGCCTATTTTATAGCAAACACTAACTTTAGGCATAAGGGAAAGCATTTTTTGACCTGGCGACCTCCAAAGCCGTCTCAACGTTGGACGTAACTAGATCATATCGCCATCAGCCACCGATGGAGGGGTTCGATAGAGGACTACCGCTCGTCGTGGGGCACATGTTTAGATTCAGATCATGCCCTGGTGCGAGCTCGTATTTGTTTGAGGCTTACTGGACGTAGGAAAGAGTAGAAGATGTTTGTAGGTTACTAATATTCGATCATAGGTGTCTTCGAAGCATTGCTCGTATATCCTGGGACAACTGAGTAAGCAATACTGTCGTTAGGAAACGGGTGCTAGGTAAGAATGGCAGATCAATAGATCAAGTGGTGAAACTTCATCAGTTGAGATGGTTGGGACAAGTGTTGCGTATGCCTAACCACCGACTGCCTCGAAGAGCTTTGTTTTGTGGTATAGGAGTAGGTTGGAAGAAAGCTAGGGGCGGCCAGACCAAAACATGGCATAAATCCATGAAGTCATTGACTAGTGGACTGAGCCATGTCGGTAATTGTCGACTACCTGGTTGGGGTCCGCGAGATGATAATAATCGATGGTTAGAGACTTTGGATGACATGGCTCAAAATCGTTTGCGATGGCGCAAGTGCATCCATTCGTTGTTCTCTCTCAAATTCTAATCTTCTGGAATCGTCAGCACCTCTACCTTTGACTTTCTAACCTTATCTCACTGAATTATACTTCTTGAATAATATCTTCGAACCCTAGTCTTCTTCATTACGATTAATACCTCTACCATCTTTATCACTATAGGATTTGATCTGACATTTGCGTCTCTGTGCTAATGTGGTATGGCAACATGAACTTATGTACATACGTACGAAGTTCTACGTTGCAAATGACTGACTGACTGAACTGGATAGTTTCACTAGCCTTCATACAAACAGTATATAGCTCAGAGTTCAGTACATAAGCTTGTACTTAGTAAATGAGTTGCGTTATGTTTAGAACATCCACGTAAGTTAGCGTTTGTCAGCAAGACATTTCCACAGTACTAGCGAAGTGTACGCTCTAGATGGAATTCAAATGTCTGCCACCCAATTACACAATTACAAAAGAGTACCATCGAACTAGTCGAATTGAGACTAATCTCTGTACTATAACTAGACTGATCAAATTCGACTAGGACATAGGTTAAATTCACATATAAAAAAGATAATATATGAGCATAAATAAATTCAGATAAAAAAGACAGGATAATTAATTTACACACGAATATGCTGTAAACACTTAAGATTGATCATAGTTCAATTCATTGAATCCAAACGATTCAATGAAGTTATATGTGGATAACAAAACCAATTATAAAATACTTAAATATATAACTTCTATTGAACTGATTCGCATAACTCATAATGTATGGTAATGAATGATAAAAATTTAACGAATGAAAAAGTTTAGAAAGAATCTATCAATACAAGACGATAAATTTACAGTCAATCACCCCAAACATTGATAGAGGAACAGCTATAACAAAAAAATTAAGCACAAATCTATATACCATACGATGAATTAACAGGTACTAAATGTATATGCAGAGGTTGGTACTACTTATAAGTTCAGATAAAGATAGATAAGGAGGCGTACTGACTACCACTGAACCAATAAAATGTGAGAAATAAAACATAGATAAGTTGCAAAACAATAAAACAATTTTACAGGAAATTACCTGGATTCTTTTCAACCAACTTTTCTAAATCAACTAACTTCTGATGTTCGCCTAAAAAGTCAGCAGGAGTTCGTTTACGTACGGCCTGTTGTTCTTGCTGCTGTTCTTGTTGTTGTTGTTGTTGGTGTTCAGTAGTTGAAGATGTTTGTGCATTTTGTTGTAGACTAGCAGACTGTTGTTGAAATCTTGGAGAGAAATTGTCATTAGTGTTACTTGAAATCCCGTTAAAATCGAAGTCAAAATGTCCATTGTTATGACTGGCATTACCACCATTGTTGGTATGATGATGGTGGTTGGAAACAACAGATTCAGTGTTCGTATTAGAAGTAGATGGTAATGTAGCACCTAAAGTTGATTCCAAATTCCACAGCTCGTCAGAATTATTTGCTGTAGAATGAGTTGGAATAGTTGACTGATCTATTGAAAATATAGATATTCAAACAAAATATTGTAACTTATCTACAAAATATAGGTTTTTGTGAAGTCGATTTTAAATTCCATTGTTTGTGCAACAGCCACGGATAATATCCTCCGACCCAGTCAAAAGAAAACCAAGTGAAGTATAGTCCAAGCTCTAGTCGTAATGATCTAAAGAGTCAAGTGTTTTAACCACTGAACTTCTGGTGCCAAAAAATGTTAATCACCAAAATCTGACATATTTTACAGAATAGTAACATTTTTCTGAGAATCACAAATATTTACTGGAACAGTGAAACGATAGCTAGGTATTCGGTAGTATAAACATGAGACCTAGTTGCAAAATAATCTATCTGTTGAAATCTCTAACAGTTTAAATGTTACATTGAGAAAGGTAATATTGGTAGCCATTTGAAATATTGAAGGATTTAAGTCAATTTCTTGTTTAAATACATGGGAGATACAACCTCACTGTAATGTTGAATGTTCTGATGTAAATGGTTTAATTATGAACTTCTTGCTGCCATTTAAAGAATCATTATCAGTATTTACTCGAAGTTTAGAAAACCAAACATATAGCTGTCATGTGATTTAACTGATAAAACCAAATACACAATAGAGCACAAATATTTTTATTGATCACTGTAAAAAAACTGGTGTTACTGGTATTTCATAGAATATTGCAGTTTTCATTGTGGGTTATTTTACAGAGTCGAGCAAAATATAAGTTTGTTATTAAATTATGAAATCTAGTAGTGTAAATATGAAGGGCTGTACATCTTTGTTCTTGGTATTTCTTTCCTTGGATTGTATCTAGCATATGGCTGACGAGCCAAAGATCAAACGGAAAGCACTTCCTAGGCTTTAATGCTAGCCAAAACTTTAAGGAAACTTCTTACGTAAAGGTAATATTGAGGAATCCGCTTACCTAATAACAGAGACTGATCAAGTACAACTTTTAAAATTAACAACTATATGATACAAACCCTTGTTAAAGTGTATTTCCACAAATATTTATGAAGCATAGCTCACAGCCAATCCACCAGTCATTATTCTTAAATAGTGCTGTCAATTAGTTATACTCGATGCAGGACGTGATATGAGTGTGCACTGAACTAAGTGGCCATAGCCCCTAAATAGTTCTGTCAAAGCGAAAATTAACAAGATAAAAATCAAGGGAACCAAAACGATAATCATATCAACGATAGTAACAAATTGAAAAAATAAAAAATGAAAGTATCTGCATCATTGATATTGCAATCCGATCAACATCATTTAAGGTTCCTAACAGTTGAGTATGATTAACACGTAGGTCTCAGAGAAGACGTCTGTACTATTCAAACAAGAAGATGTACTACCCATTCCCAAACACTTGTAATTAATGTTTCAAAACTTATGAACCGAATTTACCGAGTTTATTTCATACTGTGTGTTTGGCCTCACCATTAAATTATAACATAACATAACATAATACAACATAATAACATTAAAAGAATTTGTACGGCATTGTTCGACCATAATATGTTTAGTCATAAATTTTACAAACATCTATTTTAATAGTTTCGACTTCCAACCATCGATAGAAAGTTGGAAAACAGTTTGACACTATGCTCAATGGTATGCGCGATGTATGCCGATAGTAAGTGGTAAACTAATTAGCTGGAAGTTGAATTTTTCAATTATTAAATTACACCATTATCAAATCAAGTGTATGTATATGTGTGTGTATTGAACGAGTTATTTGTATTCATTTAACTGTAAACGAAAAGAAGTAGTATACGAAAGAAGCAGAAAAAAAAAACAAAAAAAACAAATTGGTTACTTTTCGGGCTCCAAGGATCATCAATCGGTATAAGTGGAAATGTTGACTGTGGTACATTGGTATTATTAAATGTAGATGTAGATGGAGATGAGGATGATGGATTATTATTATTACTATTATTATTCAATGAACTGTTTGGAATCGCTAAAGGAGTTGACCATGGATCTGGCAGATGAGCTGGTGCAGCTGACAACGAAGTATCAACTAAATTGAATAATCCACCACTAGGAGCATAACTTAATGGTTCAAATGTACTATTGGATCCAGACGGAATATTACTGACTGAATGTTTATCTTTCTATATTAAATTATGAGAATAAAAATAACACACTGAAATTAGTATTAAAATCATTGAATTAAACATGTAAAAATTTTCGTCTAAATTTGAACAAATAGTTTTACGCCGTGGTTGAACACTGAATTAATTGTAAAACATTGGAGAGGCAAATTATATATATTCGTAAAAAGCTCAGTGATTGAATTCAATGCTTTGCTTGGTATTTTAGTTCAAGTTTTCTCAATGACATGTAATTAAAATATAAAAATGATCTAATATAAATACATAGTTCACCCGTTAACTGTAAGCTAAAACAAGTTATTGAATCGTGTTTACAAAGTTGAGAGAGAGATTAGTTGTAGTGTCTATGACACATAAGATGTGAAAATTGTTTTAAGATTATAAAGTTGCACGTATGTGCGTAAGTGAATTTGACGTGAGACTAAGTTTTCATTCACCTATCTATTTACCTCTGTGACCAGTGATTTTTAATGAAATCAGATGATTTTATAAAAGACATGAATTAATAATGTCACGGCATGGATACTAACATAAAGATAAGTCAAACATATAAAAACTTGTTATTGTTTTGATCAAGCTGATTGGTTATTCATCAAGATCGTAATCAGTGTAACGCTAGCGTTGACTTTTTCTCTAGTCTTTTTGATGATTTCATCAAAGTTTATGTTCCTTCACCTTCACATATTTCAGCTGCTGTGATGTTTCACCCACATAGTTTAAAAAAGTTGAATTAACTTGATGGTTGATTACGTTACAAATATAAATTTAATCAAATAATTTAGAGAAAAACAGATTTACTAGAAGATTAAACAGACATTTTAATATTTAAATAAAGGTAAGTAATTACTATGAAATTATAAAGAGCTTAAAAAAACCCAGGTTAATTGCCAAAAGATTTTAGTCAGTACAATGTGTGCGTTAACTCAGAAACGTCATAACATATTAGCATGGAAAAATAACATTACCAAGGGGAATAGTAAATGAGTTAACATGACATAGTAGCAGTGATAAAGAGAAAGACTGAACATAGAAAGTATAGTTGACAAGGAAATAATCGTTTAAATGCAACAGAATACTGGAATTCAACAGCGAGACAATAATAAATAAATAAACCAAGAGTATTTGCGCTATTACCAAAGATTCTGTACCATGTCGCTGGAAGATTTCATTAAAGGTAGAAATGTACATTAGACTTAAACGATTATCCTATTATGGTTTTTTACTTCCTGTTCATCTCAATCATTATTTGAATGATGTCCACTGTCTCCAATCTTGTTCAACTTTGTCGTAGATATGCTTTTGGAGTTAACATTTTCATCGTCTGACTTTTCAGGGGTAGACCTTTTGCCAGGTGGATCGCTTATTGAGCAACAATATGCCGATGACATAGTTTTATTCGGTCAAGACGCTGTCAAAATGCACAGTCTTCTGACTACCATAAGCAAAAAAGCAAGCATAATCGGGATGCAGTTCTTACCCTCGAAATGTAAAATGTTGCTTCAAGATTGGGTTTCATCGGTACCTCAACTAGTGATATGGAGTGAATTAGTCGACGGTGTAAACAGATCGCTTCACTTATCTCAGGAGTCTCAAAAGTGCTGATAGTCTGGCGACTGACGAAATCCCAGCGCGGATACAGAAGGCTCGATTGGCTTTTGTCAACCTGTGTCACTTATGGCGTAGGCAAGATATCCATCTGTTCCCTGGCTAAGGGATGAGTGTACTCCGCAGCAGTTCGGTCTGTCCTACTTTGTGGCTGCGAAACATGGCCGGTAAGAGTAGAGGACATTCGTAGTGTAGTATTGGATGACAGATGTCTTCGAAGCATTGCTCGTATATCCTGGGACGGCCGAGTAAGCAACATGTGTTACACATGCTCAATCACCGACTGCCTCGTCGAGCTATGTTTTGTGGTGTAGGAGTAGATTGGAAGAAACACAGGGGTGGCCAGACCAAAACATGGCACAAATCCGTGAAGTCACTGACAAATGGATTGAGTCACGTTGTTACATGTAGACTGTCTGGTTGGGGTCCGCGAGACTAAAGTCACCGATGGTTAGAGACCCTGAACGACATGGCTCAAAACAGTTTGTAATGGTGCAGGTGAATCCATTCATTGTGTTCTCTCAAGTCCTAAGCTTTAGAATTCCTCATCATCTCTACCTTTCTCTTTCTAGATTTATCTCACTGAATTATACTTTTCGAATTATATCTTCGATCCCAAATATTCTCCATTACTTGTAATTCCTTTACTATCTCCACCACTATGGGATTTGAAGGAACAGTTGTGTCTCTGTGTTAATGCAGTATGACACAACCTGAACTGACGTATGTACGTACAAAGTTTTAAGTTGTAATTGAATGAGTGACTGAATTATTTGAATGAAAACTGTCCTTATAAAAAACAATTGGATTTATCTATCAAAGGATTTTTGAACAGATTAGTTTTTTTCTATCTAAATGTAAACATTTCTAGCAGTCAGGATCTACTTAATTTAATCTAGGCAAGTATTAGTGAAGTTTCAACAAATGACTGGAAAAGCAGAAACCAACTATGCACCTAGTACAAATTTGAAGATTTCACAATTCGAACACACTATTATCAGATAGGAAAAACTGAATTAGTTTTATTTCAAAAACTCAGTAGATATTTGTGTATTAGTTCTCTATCACACCATAAATGATTTCATATTAAAACATTTTAAAATTATCATTTAATCATACCAACGGCAACCATTAACATGGGACAATTATAGAAGTCACTAGTGAGTTAATGCATTAACCAGACACACATGAATTTTCGGTAACTATTATGATAAGTTGTTCTATTTTTAGTATAAATAAATAAAGTTGAAAATAAACGAGATTATTGATTATTTGAAAGAATTATTGGAAAAATTTTCGAATAATTTCAACTTTGATATGAATGCACACAATTATAAATTGTAACAGATCATGATGAACACATATTGTTATAGATAGAAACTCATGGTGTATTTTGTTAGCAATTAAGAAGACTTGATCAACTTGAAAACTATTTTCAATTTATGACATCGACTGATGCAACCATAAAGTTTATATCTGCATACTAATATTCTGTTTAATATATAATACGAGATTGATGAATTTATCAATATAGAGCTAGGAAAGGAAATTATTGAAAACAATCTTTTGATCGACTATTCTTTGCTATCTTTAATACACTAAGAATTAAGAACAACAAAAAATAAGCAATTACCTGTTCTTCTCGACGACTCTGCTCTAATACCATTTGTACTTTGGCTTCTTCTTTAGCCTCTTCAGCTCGTCTACGCCGTTCTTCTCGATCATGTTCTTCTTTACTGATAGCCAAAGCAAGTTGAAGGTGTAATTGTTCTTCACCAGCAGACTGAGGTCTAACAGATTCTAGTTCAGGGGCAGCATGAGGAATAGGAGATTCTAAAAGTCAAGATAAATCACTTGAGTTCAGTTAATTACTCAATAAAAAAAAAACAATAAACAGTTAAACTATGCTAACATTCCAACTCTATGTAATGCCTTGGTAATCAGTATAGATTAATGTTAGAGGCTCAAATAGAATATTTGAATAGAAATGCTACCGACATGCTACTTAATAGAAATGAACATACATTATATGCATAAATGTATCAATTATAATATGGCCTTTTGTGTACAACATTGTGAAAATATAAAGGATAATGTAATAATAATTTCTCACATGAATGACACATGTCAAAAACCAAACGACACTATCAGTTCAGAATTACACTGGGAGAAAAAAAGAATGAATGTTTACCCTAACCATGAATAAGGGCAACATACAAGCATGAAGTGAATTGCCAGAAAGAAAGCTGTTTTGTAGGTCGAACTCGAACTTAGGAAAAATTTTACAATTCGGTAGCAAGCGATGATGTTTATGATGTAGATAATGATGAGAAAATTCCAGGAATGTTAGAGAAAAAACTATAGCTTAGATTAGCGATAATGCATTATTGTAGTTAAGTGATCACATTCTAGCTTGACCGGCAATCCCCTTGATTGAAAAGAAACGGGTAAATCGTAAATCAACAAACACTTTATACTGTCTGCAGTTCAGACGAGGTGAAAGACAACTTTTACAGAAAACTTTCGGACCTCCTTCAAAAAGTCAAGAGCTCTGATGTAGTAATAATGGCTGGTGATTTTAATGATCAAGTAGGAAGACTCAGTGAACAGGAAAGACACTGGTAGATTTTACGGTGTCGTGGTTAATCGAACAGATAGTGGCGATTGTCTGTTGCAGCTGTGCTCAGATAATCAACTATTTCTAGCAAACACTAACTTTAGGCATGAGGAAAGCATCTCTTGACCTGTCGACCCCAAAAGTCGTCCCAACGCTGGACCAAAATAGATCACATCGCCGCCAGCGACCAATGGAGGGGTTCGATAGAGCACTGTCGCTCGTTCTGAAGCACATGTGTAGATTCAGATCATGCCTTAGTGTGAGCGCGTATTTCTTTGAGGCTTACTGGACGCAGAAAAGACACCGCGAGGAAACCCCTTAGGGTTCTATTTATTGATACTGAAGCAAAGAATATATTTCAGGGACAACTAGAAAAATAGTTAGGCAACAATGTGAGAGATTCTCATCCGGAGGCAGGTTGGAATGAAATCAAAAAGGCTGTGGAAACAGCAGTGATTCTGCTAGCAAGGTAAACCATAGGTCTAAGAAGAAGCCGTGGATTGCAGTAGCATTGACCGAACTGATGGGTGTTCGAAAACTCATCCCGTCTGGCTGAGTGCCATTAGGAGCGGAATCATCTTAGACCCAGGCTAATAAAGAGCCTACACAATGATCGTGAACAGTGGTGGGTAGAGAAAGCGAGAGAGATGGAAAAGTTAGCGGTGACAGGCAACAGTAGGCAACTATTCAGACTCATCAAGAAAACTGGTATTAGAAGTCCATCTGTTAGCGAAACTATCTTAGAAAAGGATGGACCTATGATCCATTCTCAATCCGGGAGGTTAGATCGACAGGTAGAACACTTTAGGGATCAGTTCAACTGGCCTTCAGCAACACTTCAGTTACCCACGATCTCCAATCATCCTGAGTGGCAAATGGACCTAAGTCGTCCGAATCTTTATGAAGTTGAAAAAGTTATCGAAAATCTAAAGCGAGGTAGAGCAGCGGGTCCTGATAAGTTTACTCCTGATATTTTTAATGATGGTGATCCAGTTTTAGCAGATACATTGACTGAAATCTTAGGTAGAATCTGGGAACTGGGTGTAAACCCATCTGACTGGTCTCAATCACTGATTGTTCCAATTTATAAGAAAGGACAAAAGTCTTCTAGTTACAATCACAGAGGAATAACTCTAACTAATATAGTTTCTAAAATGTTGGCCTCAATAATACTCCGACGCTGAACAAAAGCTCGTGAAGAGCAGACTATAGAAAACCAGACTAGTTTTCGACCTGGTCGTGGATTTATAAATATTCACACTACATCAGGTCCTAAAAGAAAGACACACGTTCAGATGTCCCACGATAGTAGTGTTTCTCGACCTTAAAGCGGCATTTGACTCAGTGGATCGTGAGGTTTCGTGGCAGTGTCTGTCATTGAAAGGTGTACCAAAGAAGTACATTAACTTTATACAAGCTCTCTACTCGAACACCACTAGTCGAGTGAGAGCTTATGGCGAACTGTCATCGGAGTTAGCTACTTCAAGTGGTGTCCGTCAGGGATGTCCACTCTCTCCATTCTTGTTTTACTTTGTCGTAGATATGCTTTTGGAGTTAACATTTTCATCGTCTGACTTTTCAGGAGTGGACCTTTAACTAGGAGACACGCTTGCCGACTTAGAAAATGCTGATGATATAGTTTTATTCGGTGAATACGCTGTCAAAATGCACAGTCTTCTGACCACCCTAAGCAACAATGCAAGCATGTTCGGCTCAAAACAGTTTGTAATGGTGCAGGTGAATCCATTCATTGTGTTCTCTCAATTCCTAAGCTTCAGAATTCCTCATCATCTCTATCTATCTTGTTAAGTCTATTTCACTAGATTCTACTTTTTGAATGATATCCTCTAATCCTAACCTTTCGGACTACTGCTAATACCTTTACTACCTCTACTACTGTTGGATTTGAATTGACAATTACATCTCTGTTCTAATGTGATATGGCATCATGAACTGATGTACGTACGTACGAAGTTCTACGTTACTATTGATTGATTATGCTATTAGTCAGTTAGGTTGCTATTTTTATACTTCCGATTTTGAGTCATACCGCTATGGTCTGAAAAATTTAATGAAAAAATCTGCTCTACAATTAAGCCAATTACTATAAATCATTCAAACAGGTTTCATTTTAATTTTAGAGAGGTCGATTTTGTATTTTCGTTAAATGATGACCTTTTGTACTCACAAACTAAGTGATGTCTTCAACTCAATGAGAAAACTGTATTCACTGGTGATTGGTGTTAAAAAAAAATTCATTTTTTATCTTGCTAATCCAATTAGTTTGTTCATTACTGTAAATAGAAGTAACCTTTTAAGAATAAATCTACAGCTTCCAAATTAAAGGTGTTTGTTACATCTATGCTCATCTGCAGTTTCGTAAACTATTATCACAAGTCGACCTTTTACTACGTAATTGATTCACCTTGTTCTCACAAGTTGATAGAGTGGATCCATGTTGACTTAAACAATAATTGTAAATTAACTTGCATGTTAATGCGTCTAAGAAATGTTTGTCATTCTTATGCTTTAGTTTATGGAGGATTTTGAAATTTTCCAATCGAATTAGTATCTGTATGGTTGTTTGAATCCGTGAATATAAGTGCAGATAAATCTGATTGTGTCAAGAACCATACTTTGTTTTGTAATCTAATTAACCTAATTAGTAAAATTTATTTGAACACTTACATTCCAGTGGGATATGAATTTTGATAGTAAAACCGAAATCTACATACACTTACTTGAAGGTAAATGTAAGGTTCCTTTTTCAAAATAGTTGGAACCAGAATATTCAATAGGATAGCTGCTACGACTAGATGATGAAATGCCATACTTAACTGGTGAATCTCCAGTGGAAGCTGTAGTTCCTAGACTCCCATGCATCAGACGGTCACGAGCTAATAAAGCCTTTGTACGTTCTTCGTGTAAACGTTCTTCATCTCTGAGAAGTGCACTCAAAATACGAGCTTTCTCACGGACATTCTGACCATGATCTTTTCCATCTTCAACATACTCAAAGTCCTGTTTAGTGAAGAAAAAAGGATAGAATGCTTGTTTAAAAAGAGCTATATTCATGAAATCCAGTTATACGAACACAACATGGATTCTATGCGTCAATTAACCGAAGTAATTATTGCTAAATTAAACCATATTAGTGAGTGTCTGTATCAGTAAATATCAGTGTTGACTTCCGAATTTAGTAACAACTCGTACAATAGATCAAAAGTGAAAATGATTGCTCTAACCTATCAACATGCCGCTAATTTCAGTTTGATCATCTCTCCAATAGATTTGCTGATAATAAGTACACAGACTCCGATAATTATGAGTAGATTTATCTACTAAAACATAAATTACTTCTTATATGCAGCCACGAAATTAGAAGTACAAGCACTGTTGCGTTCATAAACACATGGATTAAGATGTTGTGGAACAAAGTACACATACAGTAAGATGTGTAAGTATGAGTGAAAACAAAATCGTACCAGTAAAATTGTACTAAATAATACTCTATGAAGTCAGGGTCATGTTAATAGATGTAGTTTACCACGTCGGGGCCCGTGGGACAATCGTCAGGGCAAGCCACAATGGCGCAGGTGTATTCAGTTTTTAACTTCCTTGAGATATTGAGCTGTAAAACTACTTTAAATTTCTTATCTGGATAATTAATACTTTCTTTTCAAATCATATCTTCTATGCCTAGTATTTGATAAATACCACTTCTATCACTTTGATATTCGTCCTAATAATTTCATAGTGATGTGATGAGACGAGGCAACTAGGATGTTACTTATGGCTGATTAAATAACACATGAACGGTTTGTAAAATCAATCAAAACAGTAGCCCAAATGTTAAAAGTCAAACGTTCTAATCAGTGGACCACCGAGCTGACAAATCTTATGTTTCTTAGATCACCAAAGGAGTTTACGGTGACTATGCCCTAACTAAAAAATTCAATCTAAAAAGTAATCGGGTCGAAAACAAACAAAAATATTATAATAAGTGGTAAGTTAATAGTAATGGAGCTGGATTCATATCTTCAGGACTTGTTAGCGCGATAAACCTAAAATACATACTTAATATTTACAATAAGAAACAAACCTAGTGCCTATCACTTCAAACGTAAGCGCGTTAAACACTAATCTACTGAGCACAGATGGATAGCAAAAAATGTTTTAGTTAAGACAACTCCTTTCACTTTATGGAGAATTTACAAGAAAACTGCAACAAGGATTGTTGTGCGTTTCCATTGTGATCCATTTTTGGTAAAATTTTATAAGACCCGAACCAGGTAGTTGTAATAGACGAACAGACCCAAGTCTTATACAGCTTGCTTTTATCAGACTGACCACATCTCCCTCTTCATTTCTCGACATAGAGTGATCAGTAATATTTGGAAAGAATTTCCTGGGATGATAGTCACACTACATAACCAAACGACCGAAGTTGGTGTTTCAAGATAGTGACACCAATCGAACCTTCTGAATCCGTGCTGAGATTTTGTCAGTCACCAGGCCATCAGGACTGATGAGGCTACCGACATAAACACAGCTGTTTACACACTCGACTACTTCACTCCCTATCACTAGTTCAGGTGCCGATGAAACCCAATCTTGAAGCAACATTTTGCATTTCGAGGGTAAGAACCGCATCCCGAACATGCTTGCATTGTTGCTTAGGGTGGTCAGAAGACTGTGCATTTTGACAGCGTATTCACTGAATAAAACTATATCATCAGCATTTTCTAAGTCGGCAAGCGTGTCTCCTAGTTAAAGGTCCACTCCTGAAAAGTCAGACGATGAAAATGTTAACTCCAAAAGCATATCTACGACAAAGTAAAACAAGAATGGAGAGAGTGGACATCCCTGACGGACACCACTTGAAGTAGCTAACTCCGATGACAGTTCGCCATAAGCTCTCACTCGACTAGTGGTGTTCGAGTAGAGAGCTTGTATAAAGTTAATGTACTTCTTTGGTACACCTTTCAATGACAGACACTGCCACAGAACCTCACGATCCACTGAGTCAAATGCCGCTTTAAGGTCGAGAAACACTACTATCGTGGGACATCTGAACGTGTGTCTTTGTTTTAGGACCTGACGTAGTGTGAATATTTGGTCTATAAATCCACGACCAGGTCGAAAACTAGTCTGGTTTTCTATAGTCTGCTCTTCATGAGCTTTTGTTCAGCGTCGGAGTATTATTGAGGCCAACATTTTAGAAACTATATTAGTTAGTTATTCTTCTGTGATTGTAACTAGAAGACTTTTGTCCTTTCTTATAAATTGGAACAATCAGTGATTGAGACCAGTCAGATGGGTTTACACCCAGTTCCCAGATTCTACCTAAGATTTCAGTCAATGTATCTGCTAAAACTGGATCACCATCATTAAAAATATCAGGAGTAAACTTATCAGGACCCGCTGTTCTACCTCGCTTTAGATTTTCTATAACTTTTTCAACTTCATAAAGATTCGGACGCTTTACGTCCATTTGCCACTCAGGATGACTGGGGATCGTGGGTAACTGAAGTGTTGCTGAAGGCCAGTTGAACTGATCCCTTAAGTGTTCTACCTGTCGATCTAACTGACTTTGCTAGCATCTACAGCCATCTCTCCTTCTCACAAGGAAGGAAGGGGTTAGAAAAGGTCGACCCTAAAAATGTCACACCTCAGCATACCTCACGGATTTCCGTCTCGAGGAGTAAGGCCTTGTAAAAAGAACAGAGCAGTATAAGCTACTTTTAGTTTCACGCTTTCAGTGGGCATTCTAGGATCTTTCTTCGTGCATATATAGATGATCTAGGTTTCTCTGATTAGACCCGGTGAAACCCACGTAGCCCAGTGAATGTGTTTGTGCCTCAACGAGCTACGTTTTGCCATGCATGAATAGGCTGGAATAAACCTAGGTGCGGCCAGACCAAAACATGGCACAAATCCATGAAGTCACTGACCAGTGGACTCAGTCATGTTGGTAGATAGATATAGGCTACGTGATTGGGGTCCGCGAGATGAAATTAACTGATGGTTACAGAAGTTGAACGACATGACTCAAAATCGTTTGCAAAGGTGCAGGTGCGTCCATGGTTTGTGTTCTCTCAAATTCTAATCTTCTAAATTCCTCACCGCCTTTATTTCCCTCTTCTCAAATCTATTTCACTGAATTATACTTCTTGAATAATATCTTCGAACCCTAATCTTCTCCATTACTAGTAATATTCCTACTATCTCTTCCACTTTGGGATTTGAACTGACAGTTGCGGCTCTGTGCTAATGTGGTACGGCAACCTGAACTGATGTACGGACGGACGATGTTCTACGTTGTGACTGACTGAAAGCAGTCAACACGCTCAACTACTTCACTCCCTATCACTAGTTTAGGTACCGATGCAACCAAATCCTGAAGCAACATTGTGCATTTCGAGATGGAGAACCAAAAACCCGTTCGCAATCAGTAAGTAGACTTCTTATCAGCCTGTTTTTAAACTGACTGTCCCTCATTGTGTTCATAGGTAAACGAGATGAGTTTCCGAGCTTCTATCAATTCAGTAGAAGCTAGTGACATTCACTGCTTTCCTCTAACCTTTTAGCTTAACCTTACTGGGAGGTATCACTGCTATTTCCGTGGATTTTCGGATATCGTTCCAAGCTGCCTCGGTTAGGGAAGCAGTTGTTTTCCTAGTTGTTCCTGAAACGTAGCCATGCTATCATTGAGTAGAACCCTAACGGGTTTCTTAGCAGTGTCTTTCCTACGTCCAATTAGCCACCAACAAATACGCGCTCGCACTAGGGCATGATCTGAATCTAAACACGTGCTGCAGAACGAGAGACAATCCTCTTTCGAGCCCCTCTATTGGTGACTGATGACGATATGATCTAGTTGTGTGCAGCGTTGAGACGACTTCGGTGGTCACCAGGTTAAGATGTTTTTCCTTATGCCTAAAGTTAGTGTTTTCTAGAAAGAGCCGGCTGTCTGAGCACAGCTACCGCAGACGATCGCCACTATCTGTTCGAACAGCCACGACACCGTAAAATCCACCCAGGTGTCCTTTCTTTTCACTTAATCTACCTACTTAAGCATTGAAGTCACCAGCCTAACTTTTAGGAGAAGGTCCGAAAGGTTATGTAGAACTTATCTTCCACCTTGTCTGAACTGCGGTCAGTGGGAGTGTAGGCAGATACGACGAAGAGGCAAAGACGGGTGTTTCTATCTTGCCGAGTCCTTACTGTCCCGTTCAGTCGGACAGAACACAAGCTACTATCTCCTGAGATCCAGTCTAGGAGAGCTAGTTCTGCCCTAGGACTCAATGCTATACCTACACCAGAGAGGACATGAGAAGCAACAGCAGGACTTCCAGATGCACGAAGTGTACATCGAGACAGATTTTTATCTTGACATAGTGAAGTTGAATGAGTGACTTTACTCGGATCCTGTAGGCGTGTAGACGTAGAATATATCGATAGCCCGAGCTTTTGAAGTCCTAGCTAAGGGAGCTTGCTGTCCTATTTATCACAAGGTTCGAACATTAAAAGTTCCAATGTGTAGTTTATAGCAGCATTTCAGGAGACTAGGAATAACGTTTCGTATACTCAAGTTGTTAATATTAGAGGAACGAGGTGGTTAAGGTATACGAGGAGTGTTAGTCATGGAGACAAGAGTTATTGAGGTGAGTGAAAGATTTGGTCGTAAACAAGCTGATCTCGTATGTTGTTACGGGTGTGAGGGCGGATTTCACTTCCTTGCTGCCCACACTGTGGTAGGATGGACCAGTTAGGAACAAGTAAGGAAAACCAATCATAAAAGTTCAAGAGCAGCAAAACAGGTGGATGGAGTATTTTGAAGAGTTCTTGAATAGACCGGCGTTACTGAAGCCACTAAGCATAGAGGCAGCACACGCAGACCTCTCCATAGATATCTCACTAACACCAGGGAGTGTTATTTCGGGTTCGTTCGAGTTCGCTATACCTCTGGAAACGCTCTCACACGGCCACGTGTATATAACTACCGCCAAAAATGTTCT